AAAAAAAAAAAAAAAAAAAAAAAAGGTAGGGAGAGATTTGTTTATTGACGGCCTCCGCAGTAGGACAATGAGGGCGAAATTGCGGAAACAGTTCTCCCCCATTAACCACACGCTGCAACAGATCATGACAGCAGCAGAAGAGATGGAACGGAAGTTCGCTGCGAGCTTGCTGGAAGGAGAAGATTATCCTAGGGAGGGAGATTCGTCTGAATTAGCCAGAGCCAAAGCAGAACTCACTGCGCTACAAAACAAATTCGAAAACATGGGATTCGTGTCGGGTCCTGTCACATACCTCGAGCAAATCGTACCTAAACGATCGACTCCTGGCGCAATCACAGGGGTACCTGTTCCTGTGATAAATGCTCCCCCGCCCCCTCTCGAGAATCCTACACGATCAAGTGAATCGACTGAGATACTAGAGCTGACCAAAACGTTGGTTACCTTGATGCAAGAAAGCAAAAAGGAGCAGCGTGAGCACAACGCTAGGATAGAGTCGTTAATGAGATCGATGCGTCCCATTATCCTAAGACCCGCACCAATACAGCCCGGATTGGCCCCGACTCCGGCAATAGGCAGAGCAGCAGGCAACCCGAGTGTCTGCTACATGTGTGACCAGCCTGGACACATAGCTCGAGACTGTCCCCACCGACCTGCGCAAGCTCGGGTTCGGAGGAACACCAGTGGCCACGGCACCCATTTCTAATGGGCCAGGAAGAGTAGGAGCGATGTTGGAAGAAATGGAAGGAGGAGGGAGTACGTTAGCCACTACGGAAGAAGCCGCAGAGCTTGTTCCTCTAGACCAGTACGTGACATTAGGATATCCGGGGTTGGGAATGATCGGGACTATAAGACCCGCCCATGAACAGCCGGAGGTGGCGGAATGGAGACCCTTTCCAGGGGAAATGGAATCTGGGGGACCCACCTTCGTCACTAGGGAAATAGATGTTCTGAACGTCATCCGCGCTCTGGATCACCGCATTCCCCTCCCGATCGGACATCTGTTGTTCATTTCGGAACAGGCTAACGAGCCCATGTTGCAACACTGCAAGGCAAACAGAAAACGATTCGCTCTTGCGAGAACGGCGAACACGAAAGGAAAAGCCCCCGCCCACGAGGACAACCCGAACCATGCCAGTACATCGGAACCTATACGATTGGGACTAATACAGAAAGATTATCACTTCTTGTGGATCAAAGCAATCCCGTGGAAATCCGCCGAATGTGACATCGAGGTCTGGGGAATTCCGTACAATGCCATCATCGACTCGGGAGCCGCTGTCTTGGCTACCTTGCTAAGGGTAGTAGAAAGAGCGGGAAGAAGAAAATATCTGATCATGCTGACAGAGAAGGATCATCTCGTCTCCGCGGATGAAGAAAAAATCAAGACAGTGAGACGAATGACCAACGTGGCGTTTCGATTGGGAAAGGTACATGCCCTGGGAGAAGTCGTGGTATTAGATGTAAGCACGCATGATGTTGTTTTGGGACTACCCGTTCTAACGACGCTGTGGGCCAACCTAGACTTTGAAAGACGATCGATTGTCCTTCGGAATACGGGAGGGAAACCATACGCAATCCCTATGAGATTGACTCTCAGAATGGTAGCAGAGACAACCCAGAAAACTCCTCCGATACCCGAAGGAACTCTCTGAATGATCACCTGGAAGAAACTTGCGGAACGAAGTGATTACCAGATGGAGGAGCCAAACCTCTCAAGTGATACCGATAATAGCGACGAAGGCGAGTTAGTAATTCGGGAGTTAGTGCAGCAACGCGTCCACTATCCGATTCGACAAGCAACCACAAAAACGTTCAAACTCACGGGAGGAAATATCCAAAGAACACGCGCATTAATGTTGGGCGAACCGCTTGTGCAAATTTCCCGGATGGCCGATTCTTTGGAACCCCCGCGGACCTTATACGAGGGCACCACTCCACTCCTTGCGAGGTAGAGGGATAAGAGAGTCTTTTGTAATATTACGGAGCTACCCCGTTCCTTGTTGACTTTGGGAAAAGAGATAAGATTGCTAAGATTAGGGGCGGAAGGCGAAGCTTTGGAACCCCCTGCGCGACGTGACATGGGGCCTCACGATCTCGGGATCAAGATCGCGAAAAAACCCGTACGATGGCATGATGTCTGCGGCGATATAACCCAGGAGGAACACGTGGCGATCCGAGAGGAAGATGCCCAGATAATGGCCACGGTATTCTCGTGGCGATCGAACAATTCATTCATTTCTGCGCCCGCCCTGGGAACAGCGGTGGAATCGATACAAAACAAATTATTATCCAAATATTGGGACAGTTGTACGAACTACACGTACCACGATATGTGCCCGATGAGATTCATCACCTGATCGCGGACATTCTAAAGGAATATGAGGGAGCGATTAGTGTAACCGACACCGATATCGGACTGCCATTAGTGATTCAGCACGAAATCCAGACCGGAAACCACCCTCCGATCCACTGTAAAGTTATAAACCATATCGATACTCCCTCGCAGAACGAAAAACAGCTCTACAGAGGATTAGGGAATTCGAAGCTAACGGATGGATTGAACCGGCCACTGGGCCATGGTCGTTCCCGGTCGTATTAATGCCTAAAAAGAATGGGTCAGTCCGCATCTGCATTAATTATTGTAAGTTGAATGATATCACGATTAAAGATGTATATCCCGTCGCCCAGATTGACGATTTGATGGATGCGATTGGATGTGCTAATTACTTTAGTAAATTTGTTATTCGTCATGGATTTCACCATATCTTGGTGAAGGAGGAAGACCGACCTAAGTAACTTTCGTTTTGTTCGAAGGCACGTGGCAGTGGGTTCGGTGTCCGATGGGGATCTGCAACGCGCCAACTATATTTCAAAGAGCGATGAAGGTGACGTTCCAGAACTTTGTCAACAAGACTCAGTTAACGCAAGGGATGATTAATTTCTGCGTTATTGTGTATACGGACGACATCCTGGTCTACTCAGAATCATACCACGGGCATGCACAACACATCGAATGGACGTTGGGAGTGCTGAGAGACGCCGGATTCAAGATTGTGCCGGAGAAAAGCGAGTTCTTCCTTTCGGAATTTTTTTTTTTAGGCTACGTGGTGATACGAGGAGGCTTGAGGCCCGATTCGAGAAAAGTCGCGGCTGTCAAAGACGCTCCAGTTCCCATGTCGCTGACATAGGTTTGAGTCTTCCTGGGACTGACGTCGTATTACCGTCGATTTATCAAAGGATTCGTTGCTATCGCACGACCTCTAACGAACCTGCTACGAAAGGACCAATCTCTCACCTGGGACGCGGAGTGAGAACGGGCCTTTATAACTCTCAAGGAAGCCTTGGCCACGACACCTATTTTGATCCGACTGGACCCAGCGAAGCAGTTCATTCTCATCATGGATTGCCATCCCGAGGCAATCTCGTTATTCTAGCGCAGAAGGAGAATGACGGTCGCGTACACGTCATCGAGTACGCGTCCAGTACTGTGCCGGACGAGCGAAGGAATGATTCAGCTCCCCAGGGAGAATGCTACGCGGTGGTTTGGGGAATCCCGCATTTTCATCCGTATCTTTACGGGCAGAAGTTCCTCCTCGTTACCGACCACGAGCCACTATTGGCCCTCAAAAGGCTTACTAACTATGCGGGTATGATTGGACGTTGAGCGGTGCGGCTACAAGAATACGATTTCAATATCATCCACCGAAAGACGGAGAGGCACGGGAACGCGGATGGGTTGACACGATTGCATCGTCCGACGAAGGTCGCCAAAGGCGAAGAAATCATCCCGTGGAAAGAACCAGAACCGACGAGCGGGCCCCGGTACGGACAGGTGGCAGTTCTTCCACGTGACAAGAAGCAAGCACATGCCAATGGGTGACGGAGGTAACTCTAGAGCTTCTCTCTCTTCCCTTTCCTCCTCGTCTCTTCTCTCTTTACCTGATAAATTTTGTTATTTCTGCGAAGCAATCTCGCGAGTCTACTCAGTTCCTATGCATCCTAGTGGGGAAGGGTATGTCAAATGGGTAGATTGTCGACAGTGCATGTCGAGAGCCCATGGCTCCTGATAGCTATTGTAGTAGGGAACCCCCTCCGAGACTTCACTAAGGAGGATCGGAGGAGGGCTAATGAGAGGGCTCAACACTATCGATGGAACGAGGGTCGGTTGGAAAAACGGAAGACGGACGGTAGTGGGATATGGATGACTGTACCGCACCCGTTCATGAGGTATGACTAGGTTAAGTCGGCGCACGAGGAAATTGCGGCCCATTTCGCCGTCCGAATCACCGAGACGGCGATCGATAAACACGAATGGTATTGGTCCAATATTCGCGACGATGTTAAGTTCGTCGTCCAAAATTGTCAGGTTTGCGCAACTGACAAGGCGCCGATTCAGCCGCCAAGATCGATAGTCCCGACTGTAGTTGAACGACCATTTCAAAGAGTTAGCATGGATACTACCGACATCATGGTGCCTCCTGGATCGAATAGCTGCAAATATTCAATTTTATTGGTAGTCTACTAGTCGTGGATCACTTTTCAAAATGGATCGAGGCGTATCCATGCAGAACGCGACAGGCGGCAGAAAGTGCGCGGTACGTCAACCGTTTCCTCGGGATGCACCAAGACACAGAAGAGATCCTAACCGACAACGAGGCGGAATTTAGAGGGGAAGTCTTAAGAAATCTGGTCGTACACGGTGTCGCCATTCGTAATACTGCACCCCACATGTCACAGTCCAATGGGCTGGTAGAAAACGTGAACCGGGTGATTAAGACGGCTCTGCGACGAAATATCGCGGCTCGGGACACGAGGCCTTGGCCTGATATCGTAGATCATATCTTGGCGGTCCATCGAGGAACGCCCCACGAATCCACAGGCTTGACCCCTTTTCAATAACGTACCAATAGCTTAGCATGTGTCTCGATACCGAGTCTCCACTATGAATCTGCCCTGGGCCGACGACCTACGAGGGCCACGGCCCGGGACAAGGTCAAACGACACTTGGAATTGATGGAACGGTCCCTTCCCCGGCTGGCCCAAAAGCGCCAGTGGATGAATGAATTGGCCCACAGACGATAGGTCCGTAGCTACGAGGCCCGAAATGGGAACGCGGGTCCGCGGCCCCGGTATAAATTGGGGGACATGGTACAGGTGAGGAAATGTGCTCGCCAAGGGAAGTTAGCGCCACGATTCTTCGGGCAATTTCGCGTGGTCGAGCTCGGCCCAAACGGGGTGAACACGGTGCGGCCCGAGGTCTCAGGCAGACGATCGGCTCATCCGATCGTTCGCCACGCGTCTTATTTGCGTCCCCTCCCTACCTCCCCATCTCCACCTTCGTCTGCTTCCTCCTTCGACACCAAAGAGGACGACGACTGTCTAGTATCCCCCTCTCCTTCTTTGTCAGCAACTCCGTCCCCGCCTCCATCGCCATGAGCTTTTCGGTGGAGCAGGCAATTAGTGCACAGTTGACGACCCCAAGGGGGCGAATTACGATCATCCGGCAAGTGCAGCGGCCACGACTTAGCCCCGACCTTCTCCATTTTGCGGCCTTCTTCAGTACGGCGGCGATTTACGTGGCGGCCGAGTTCCGATTCGTACAGGGGGGAGCAACACGTGCACTGGCCGAGATCTCGGCCCTTCAGCGCCTGTCTCAGTCCGGGGTCAATCACGTCTCCGTCATCATCGTCTTCACCGGGGATATCACCATGGTACCTTCAGCGATCCACGCGGACATCTTCCGGACCTTGAGAGCCTGGGGAGAAGAGATTGTGGTCGCGTGGACGACGCTCCTAGCCCGTCCAGGAGACACGGTCGTGACATCTCACGACACCGATCTGCAGCTCCGCTCTTCCAACAGTTCGCCGCCGATCCTACTTCCGGAGCTTCGCCCTTTTGCGTCGCCCCAATGAGTCGTCGTCGTCTTTCTCTCTTCGGTCTTCCTTCCGATCTCCCCGCCTTCTGGCAGTCCGCTCACGCCCCCACCCTCTCTTTCCGCATCAAGCAGCTCAACGTGCCAATCCTGAACGAAGACAAGTGGAATGATTGGTGGGACGCTTACCTGGAGCTTAGCTTTTGCCTGGTGGAGGTGATCTTTCATTGGTTTGAGCCAGCGCCCGAAGGAGAAGGGTCTGAAGTCCCGAATGATGAGGTGGAGCTGCTGATCGTGCAGGCTTGGCGCACGGAAACAGAGGGAGAGCTGCTGGGCATAGTATTTGGCAAGGTGGAGGAAGGGAATCTCGCCCTCATCACGAGTGAGCTATTGGTGTTCTTGGCGCAGCTAGTGGATGGTCTACCCCTTGATATCCTATCACGGTGCGACAGCAAGCCCGACCCCGACGTACTCCCCCGTACGCTTGCGCCTTATCTGTTGTGGTCCGCGTGCACGGAGCTGGACGCGGACAACTGTCTTTATCCGTCCCAGGACCTCTACCTGGAAATCGACGTCACCGATCTCGTGCTGTGGGACCCCGTCGTCCGGCGAGTGAACGCGCGGGTCACCGACGACGACGACGACGACGACGACGAAGAAGAAGAAGAAGAAGAGGAAGAATTGGACACGGATCCAGATGATCCCGACTACGTCGGGAAAGAGGAGACCGAGGGAGAAGTAGAGAGACAAGAAGATGAAGAAGAACCGACGGAGGAAGAGAGCGGGCCAGAGGAACCAAGCAATCGGCCCAGGCGAAGTAAAGAAGAAGAATAGGCCGAGGCCCAGAGGCGACGAGAAAAGGTGGAAGGCAAGCGATCGATCGAGGAAGGGCCCCCGCCGGAGCTGTTGTTGGGAGACCCGTCGCTCAACCCGGAGCCGCCACGTGAGGGGCCCGAAGACGATGGAGCTGCCGCCGAGGGATCGGGAAGCCGCCGCCGCAGGAGGAGTGAATCGCCGGCTCCATCCCTTTCCCCACCCCACCCTACCCTTCACCTTCGTAAAGATGCGGGCGATCGGGCTTCGTCCCCGGTCATTAACGCGCCGTCCCTATGATTACATGATGACCCGCCAACTCCTAGGTCGACCCCTTTTTCCCACTAGATGGTGTCCTTTCCCGCCCGCCCTCTTCCATCAACTCTACATCACGCGTCTTCTGATCACTATCGTCCCGCACTCCACCACTCGCTCCCTCGTCGATTCATTCCTTCTCCACGTCCTTCTCTTTAGTGTGAACTGGCGGGAGTACAATAACATATAAATTTATTGTATTATCTCAGGTACGATCTCCGCCTGCGAAAACTATGAGAATTTTCGCGCTGCCCTCCATCACACCATCTCCACCTTCTATCCCGACTACCTCGCCTCGCTTCCCTATCAACACTAATACCCTCGTTTCCCTCGCATCCACTGTTCCATCCACTATAGCCCCCTCCCCACCCTCGAAACCCAGGATATCTATCGCTTCATTCTCCCTCTTCCCCAAGATCCCCCACCACCTCCTCCGTCCGTGATTAGATTGCCCTTCCCCGGGAACTTGTAATAGAGCTCACGAATGCCACGTTGGATGACTTCCGCACTCTTATCTTACGGTAAGTGGCGCGTAGAGAGCTCTGCGTCGTCGATCGATTAGAGAAATCGACACGAGCAAGCAGGAGCTTGCTCAAGATTGGAACCCCCTGGGCGTCACATATGTGACGAACCACTTTCTGTGCCACACGATTTTCTGCACAAGGCTGCTGGGGAGGGGATACGACAAGTCGAAGGGGTGACCTATGGAAAGATGGGTCGGGTGGCTAGTTGCATGGATGCCCTCGTTTGTTTTCGTTTTCTGCTGAAAGTTGTCGGATCGATGTCGGGAAAGTCCCGTACCGATGGTTGGATGATCGCGCCATGACGGGCGCAAGAAATAACTATACCATAGCTTCTTTCTTGTTCTGCTGTGAGCACTGTGAATTTTGGCACGATCATCGCGCAAAAATATATATATTTTTTAATTTTTAATTGATGTTGTGCCCCTACGGGCTCTCGGAATTGTTTTTCTTTTCGGAATTTCATTTTGCAATCAGGACTTAGACTAGGAATTTAGGTACTCTAAATTTTGTTGCGCAGCGTTCGCACGCATCTTGTTGCGCGGGGAACTGGGTTCTGACTGGATCGCGCCTTTAATCTTGTGCAATTGTCGTTTTTGGCGGGCGCGATCATAACTGTAATCCTTCTTCTTTTTTTGGTTCTCCTATGTTGCCCGCCTTCTTCTTCTTCTTCTTTCTCATCTTGCATATTCTGTTCTAATTGGTTGAAGCGCCTGCATGACCGGATCGGTGCATGGAGTGTGGCTACGACCCCCACGCCGCGGCCTGGCCATGCAGACGTAGGCACTTCCTCTCTTCTCTTCTTGTCCATCTGGGCTTAATCCCCCACCTTTCACGCAGGCATGCATGCTATAAATTTCACAAGCGCCATTAGTTTGCTCTCTAAGAATTCCGAGGTTAGCGCGATCAGTGAGGGTCGGCTAACGAGTAAGTTTGAAAGGTGAGTGAGTGTGAGAGTTGGGCGATCCGACGAGCTGGTGTCAGGTATGTGGGTTGACGTGCAGGGCCACGACGGACTGCCAGTGTGGCGCACGGGCGAACCTGGCTTGCATGCTTGAACCAAGCGGGACGACAACTCTGTGTTGATACGAGGCGACGGACTGCCGGTATCGTGGGTGTTGATGCGAGGCGATGGACTGCCCGCAACGGGAGCAGGGAGAGAGAGAGAGAGAGAGAGAGAGAGAGAGAGAGAGAGAGAGAGAGAGAGAGAGAGAGAGAGAGAGAGAGATGGTGAGGGTGTGGGAGAAGGGCTCTTTTTGTAGTTGCTTTGATTTCCACTGTGCATCTGTATAAATTTTGGATTCTGATATGGCCGATCTCTTTATCACGACCCTTCTCTTTCGAACTTCTTTTGTACATTGTCTCGGATTTTCCTTGCTGTTTTGCTCAGTATGTATCCATGAAATAAATGTAGGTTCTCTTTTGTTAGCGATCTTTTCGATCTGTTTTGCGATATCTGTGTTGTCCTGTGTAACCGTTTGAACGCCGTGAACGCGCGTTCGCGTTCAAATGTGCGTTTGAACGCGGATTGCGCCTTCGCGTTCAAAATTGAACGGCGTTCAATTATTTTTTTATTTTTATTTTTTTTAAATCATTTCGATGCCTAAAAATAACTTTTTTTTCCCAATTTTTGTTTTATAAGTTCTGTGTGATGTGAGGTACATGCCTCTCAATTTTGGAGTCATTTTGCTAAGGCAAAAAAAAATGAAAAATCGCCAAAGATGGCGGTGTCAAATCGTGTTCGCTCACTAATTTCAATTCTTTTTTTACTTCATTCTATTTTCTGTTTTCTATTTTTTTTTCCAATTTGGTAACGAATTTAGCTGTTATGCTCAGGCAAATGTTGTTTATTTTATTTTTTTTCATAACACATTGTTTTTTCGAAATTTTTTGAGGTTTCCCCCCCCCCCCCGGTGCGGAATTGAACTCCGCGTTCGGTCCCGTTCATTGAACGCGCGTTCATTTCGTTCAGTTTCTGAACGGAAAACCTGCGTTCAATGAATGCGCGGTTTCACAGGTGTTGTCTCTGACCAGTGTTCGCCTGCGTAAGCTCTGCGATCGGGTCTGATTGGGAATGCTCACTTTGAATGTCTGAGGTCCAACTGTCGATTATCCCCTCTTTCCTCCTCTTGCGTCACATGTATGGCATGTAGTGATTGGTAGGATATTTGCACTTATGGTTGAATGCGACCGGTACACGGAACCAATCGGTTGTTCCTTACGTACACGCGTGCGTACGTTCGCGATCTCTAGAGAGCCGGGTCGCCACGTACGCGCCCGCCTGCGTAAGTCAGCCTTAACCTCGTGTAAGGATGTGGGGGATGAGGCTTACGAAACAGACATGGCTGCAAGATCTCCTTCCTGGGCGTCCGACTACGAAAAATTGAGGGACCCGAAATATTGCGAGTATTGGGAAGGCGAACAACTCAGACGGCGGGGAAATTGAGGAAACCCGGAATTCCCCTGCCTAACAGAAAATGACCGATTATGCGCAAGGGATTTTCACTGTGCCACAACTAGTGAACCAGGTGCCCCGACTACCCGAAAACTTATAACACGCAATATTTCATATCCCCCGACTTCGGCGTTATTACTACCAGTTTTCCTCCCTTCCATCTCCTCCTCCCATATCACCAATTCACAGTGGTACCGTGGAATTCCATAGCTCGCTACTGGTCCAGCCCACCGTGCGAGGGTTGTCGGCATCACCGGGCGCGTCGAGCTTCGGGAGCTACCCGACAGGCTCGAACTGAAGCTGAGCAGCGATTGCACAACCTCCGTGTACGGCCCGCCTCGGGAAGCCGAAGCCTATTACGAGCGCCGTCGACAACTGGCCAAACCGCGCGGCTGACCCCGAAGACGAAATCAGCGGCAATGGTGATTCCTCTTTCTTTTCGACCTTAAAAGTTAAACTTGTTGGTGGGGGCAATATTGTTGGGATTTTGTTCGAAGAATGCAAGAGTGTTTAAATCTATCGGTATGGCGATAGCATGAAAGTGCCCCGGATCCTTAGTCTGAGATGCACTGCGCATGCCATCTGCCTTATGCTGCACGACATCAGCAACCTCCCTTCTGAGTACACCCTCTTTGCGCCTATACCTCCGAAACTAGTCACAGGAGATTTCAGTTCCGACCTGAGACTCCACCCCAACTTTCCTAAAATCCTTGGCACACCCCCTTTTGCGCACTTTCGAGCCCCCATCCCACTCCGATCAGGAAGTCGCGCTGGGCGTGAGGTTAGGGCGTCACACCCTAACCTCCTGCCCAGCGCGACTTCCTGATCGGAGTGGGATGGGGGCTTGGAAGTGCGAAAAGGGGGTGTCCCAAGGATTTTAGGAAAGTGGGGGCGGAGTCTCAGGTCGGAACTGAGATCTCCGGTGGCAAGTTTAGGGACGATAGTGCAAGATGGTACGTGGAGATCGTGTCTGGGATTCGTCTCTGCCAGTTGCGTCGCCTCGGTCGGTCCCTTACCTAGTGGACCGATGGGACGCCATGGCTGTCGCGCTGTTCGAACAGTTGTCGGCGCTGCTCGGCTTCGGTTCGGGCTCGCCGGGTAATTTCCAAACCTCGATATGCCTGGTGCCGCTGACACTTTTCGGACGATGTGTGGGGCCAATAGCGGGCTATTGAATTCCACGGTACCACTGTGAGCTGGTGATAGGGAAGGAGGAGGTGGAAGGGAGGGAAATTGATACTAATAAGGACGAAGCCCGGAGATATGTAATATTGAGTGTTGTTAGTCTCCGGATAGTCTGGTCCACTAGGATCGTTAGTTATGGCCCAGTGAAAGTCTCTCACGCACAGTCGGTCGTTCTTCGTCAGACAGGGAAAAATCCGTGTTTCTCAAGTTTCTCCGCCGTCTGAGATGTTCACCCTCCCAGTATTCCCGATAGTCCGAGTCCCTCAGGCTCTTACGATCGGTGATCCAAGAGCGGTTTTTACAGCCATAGCCGATTAGTGAACTCGGTCTCCCGCATCCTCATGATGAGTTTGTGGTCGACTCGGTTTTCTCGAGATCGCGGTCGTACGAGAACGTGCACATGAGCAAAAGTGGATCAGACTCGGGTTTCTCGTATTGAGGTATCTGTTGTGTCATACATGCATGCAACTATCCTATCCATACAATTTTGGGTGGGATCAGTCATTACATTCACACCCATGCCATTCATGTGACGAAAAGGGGAGGGGGGGGGCAATCACAGTATCTTCGGTGATCTAATGATGATCGTCTGTAGCGAGTATTTTCGATCAGACACGGGACTATTGCTCGACACAAATGGAGGCTC